TACACACCCTTTATATTTTTATTGAGGAGAAAGCTTTAGCATACAGAACAATTTCTTATCTTCACAACACAGTAATGCAACAATAACACAATAACAATAGCACATTTTCAAACGGGTTTCCTCCCGAGTCTCTGGGAATCCTTGGGCTGCCTTCATACCCCTGGCATGCATTCCCCCCCCCCACCCCCCACCCCTCTTTCAACCCAAGAAAGCACCCAAAGCCCATAGTTCTTCTTACAGCTCTTGTGGCTGTCACATCACAACAAATATTAAAGATCCGGGAAAGGTGGGGGAAGAGGGTCAAAGGGAAGCCCAAGCCCCCCCCTGCCACCAGAGGGCCAGAAGCCAGCTCACTGCTCATCCGCTCTTTCCCCGGCTGAGGCTACAAGGGCTCAGGGTGAGAGGCACCACGGGAACAGCAGGGCCTGTGCTGAAAGGTCCCTGGAGGTTGGGGTGCAAGGCACCTGTCCTTTGCACTTCTCCGGCAGGGACGTGGGCAGCAGGGCCAGAGTGTCGACCGTCAGCAAACAGGGTCCACAGCCTAGAAGGATAGCCGTTCCCCTTCTGGAACCCTCTCCTGAAGAAATAGCTGAAAAAGACAAAATTTTCTTTATGCGGTTGTTGACCACTGTACCGAAGGGAATGGAGAAAACCAGGCAACTGAAATGTCCAACAAATCAGGAGACTGCTTAAATAAATTATTCAGTATGCATGACTGCATAGGTGGCAGCCATTTTAAATCCTGCTGATCAAGAGCTTACAGCATGATCTCAGCTTTGAAAAGACAGAGGGAGAACATGCTAGAAAGGCATCAAAGTGTTAACAGTACTTGCGTCCGTGTGGCCGGATTCTGGATGTCTGGGGGTGTTTTGGCCTTAACACTTTTCTCGATTTTCCACATTTTCTATTATGATTATCTATTACTTTTCTCCTTGGAGGAGGGGGGAGCCTTTTTTAAAAGGTAGCAACAGGTTCTAGGAACCCGGCTCCACGGTTGCCCCAGGGCTGCCCCAGGGCTGCCCCAGGCCGAGAAGGGAGAAGCGTGTTATAAACAAAAAGGGCTTCTTACCTCCCACTGACGAATAGAGACCTCACCAGAAACCAGCCGGAGGACTGGGTTTCTCTGTGACTCCTCTTCCTTCAGCTCCTTCCGCTTGCCTCCAGGCTCAAGATCCTAAGGCTGGGCTGAGGTTATCTGTCAGACTCCGGTGAGGAACAGAGGCATCATTTACTATGTTTTCTTCCCTCTAGCCACAGACACTTTGGCTGCACTTGTCCAGCTGCCAGGCACTGTGCAGGAAGCTCAGTGTGGAGGGCAGTTCAGGCCAGAAGCGGATCTGGCTGCCATTCTGGGGCCAGACTGACATAGTGTATATTTTTTCACTGCCGAAGCAGTGTTTTTTGGACCCGAGACAAGCAGCAGGACTCTTTATGGGCGGCCCTGGGTTCGTACCCAGAAGTCCCCGGAGTTATTAGGAGGCAGTCACCCTCTTAAGCCTCATTGTCTAATCGAAGCCCAGCACCGGGCCATGGCTTGCCCCCCCCCCCGCCCCCCATGTGAGAAACATGAGAACGTCCCAGCTGCAAGGCTGTAGACAGAACCTTCCTCTCTCCTCTCAGAACCAAGGAATCCTTGAAGTCGAAGTTAAAGAGCAGGCCTCGGGCCCTCTCTGTCTTTGGCAGTCCAGGAAAGAAAGGCGAATCGGGCCTCCTCTGGCATCTCAAGGATGGCGAGTCTCCTGCAAAGGCCTTTGGCTGGGGGCTGCAGTCCAAGGCCTGGCCGGGGAAGGAGACCACCGTCCCCAAGGAAAGAGTGACTCCTCACAATGTCAAGCTGAGTTGTTGCTGCTGCTGCTGCCTCCTTCTCCTCCCCCTCCCCCTCCGCTCCCCCCCTCCGCCTCCTTTTAGGCAACATCCAGAGAAGGGTTAGAGCCTGTAACCTTGGGCTCTGTCTGCTGGGGATGCCCGGGGAAGGCGGCATGGTGAGAGGAGAGGGTTCCGGACTTGGCGAGCTGGTCCAGGGGCCCTGATACACGGGTCTGTGGGGCGGAGGAACCAGCTTGCTGGGTCAGTCAAGAGCCCATCTCAGCCATGTCGTCCGTGTGACATGTGGCTTTGTGCACACTCACTGGGCTGGATGTAGGGGTTCTCTTCGGGGCCCTTCTGCTGGGGGGGGGGGCTTGAAGCAAATGTCGGCTTCTCGTACATCTCTTGATACCATCCTGCTCTCTGTCCATTTTATCGAGTCAGTGGCCTCAGTGGCTTTAGGAGTTCGGCACAGCCCGTCCTTTCGCTCATGGGGGCAGATCAGTGAGGCATTGGGTGAAGTCCTGGTGAGCCAGTCCAAGGATAAAACCGTAGAACACAGGGTGAATAAACGCAGGAGAGGTGAGGGTTAGGAACAACTAGAGGGGAAATTACAAGAGGGCGACCAGTTCTTTTATGGGAACAGGCCCCGAAACCTGCTCTCTAGCTTGTGGCAAGACTGAGCAGAGCGCACTCCAAGAGGACAGCTACTGCTGATCCCTTCTTTCTCGGGTGGCCTTGCCTGGACACGTGTCACTCTCTGGTCACGGTCGCAAGACGATCTGATCTGGAGTTCTGTAGGTCTTCTTCGGGCTCTACAGGTCTGGAACTCCCTCAAGTACTGGTCAGCAAATAGGGCAGGCGTGGCAGCGATAGCAGGGGCAGGGGACGCTGTAGAAGGGTGTGTTCTGCGCGGCGAGCTCGCCCCAGCTCTCACACGCGAATTCGGCCGCGGGCGGCCCGGTGGCCCCCCTGTCTCGGAGTGAGGCGGAACAGCACGGGGGGACGCCTTCGAATCTGGCGTTGCCCCAGGCGACCTGCACGGCGAATCAGTGGGGGCGAACTGTAGAACGGCGAATTAGTGCCCGGAAGGCCCTCCAGGAGCGGGACGCGATTCTGGTTCCTCCTCCTGCTGGGCTGTACTATGGGCGGTGAAGCATCTAGGAAATTCTCGTGGTAGTAGCCAGTGGTCTGGGATGAAGCGTGGGCAACAGTCGGCTCCATCTCCATCATCTCGTCCAGGTCATCGTCTTGGGTCTCGTCCTCTGACTCTGGTTCTGGCTCCTGGTCCCCCTCCTGGTCGGCGTCGGGATCTGGCTGCGGGACGGGGCACACGAATTCACCCTTGTTCTCTTCATCCTTGACTGTCTCCACGTCCACCTCCTCGTCCACGTCCACCTCCTCGTCCTCGTCCTCCTCCTCCTCCTCCTTCTCTTCCAGTTTCTTCTTCATCTCCTCCAGCTGCTTCTTCCTCATCTCTTCCTGCTTCTTCCTCTTCTCCTCCTCCTCCCTCGCCTCCTCCTGAATAGCTCTCACGCGCCTCCGCTGCTCCCTGTCGTAAAGCCTGCGCCTGCGTGTCTCTTCATCTTCGTCACTGTGGAAATCTTCTTCATCGCTGTCTTCGTTAGGGTCCGCGGCAAAAGGGAAGAAGATGTTGCGGACCCCCGGGAGCGGGATCGGCTTGGGGACGCGCACCTTTCTCTCTATCTCCACACACTCGAGAATCAGCTCATCCAGGTCGGCCATTTCGGTGGACCATAAGAGCTCCTTGCGGAAGAATTCTGACAGGCCTTTAAGGAATTGGTTTTGAAGGCGGCAGTCATCCCAAGACAAGAACTGGGCCAGGAACTGAAAAGCATCTGCATAGCTGCCTAGGGTACAGTGGCCCTGCTTGAGCTTGCGGATGGCCTTTTTAGCCACGCTTGGGGGGATGGGGCCGCAGAATTCCTTGCGGATCTCATCCAGGAAGCGTGGGAAGTTGGCACGCAGGGGGCTTCCTTCCCGGGTGACTGAGATGGCCCAGTTCTTGGCTTGGCCCGCGAAAAAGGAGATCAGAAAAGCCACCCGCTCGGCGCCCCCGGGGAAATGATCCTCGTGGTCAGCTATGAAAGTCTCTAGCTTCATCAGGAATTCGGCCAGGTAGACCGGGTCGCCCGAGAAGGGCTCTAACTCGGGCCGCTCCAGCGGCGGCAGAGGAGGCTGCGCGGGCAGCTCCTTGGCTGGGGGCGGGGGCAGCGCCGGCGGGGGCGGGATGGCCAGCGGGGGGGGGTCGACGGGCGCGTCGGAGGTACCGCAGTCCTGGATCACGCTAATCAACAGTTCGTCCGAGGCGTACTCGGGCTCCGCGCGAGGGGGAGGCCAGCACAAGAAAGGCAGCTCCCCCTCGGGAACTGCGTCGATCTCGCTGAGCGGGAACTCAAAGTTCTCCTCGGCAAGGACGGGCACCACCGGCACCGGCCAGCGGATGTAGCTCGACACATTGCCCCGCAAGGAGTTAACCTCGGCTAGGGCTCTTCCGAGCTGAAGGCCCAGATTGGCATTCTCCCCGCGAAGGGCATTTAATTCTTCTCGCAGGGCCACGTTCGCCATGCGCAGGCTGTTTAGATTTCCGGCGGCCTCGGACATCAGGATTAGCTCAGGGGCCCCGGGTCTGAGGGCGGGGGCGCAGGTGGAGGGGGGGTGGGGAGCTGGAGGCCGCGAGAGGAGGCTGAAATGCGGCGGCGGGGCGCGTGCGGGGGGAGGGGAGCGGAGCGCCGCGGCGGGGCGCGGGAGAGGCCGAGCCACACCCACTGGGGCGAGCGCGGAGGGCGGGCGCTCCGGCCGGAGGGCCCAGCGGCTCGGCCCGGGGCGCTTTACCTCGTCCCGGGGATCGGATCGGATCGGAGAGGGCGGGCGGCGGCGGCGGCGGCGGGAGCCGGAAGGCGCCGGGGGCCGAGGACTCGGGCGGCAGGCGGCAGGCGGCGGCGGGGCGAGCGGAGGCTGGAGGAGCGGGAGGGAGTGCACTGCGGCAGGATCTGTCGAGGAAAAATCTTGCGGCTCGCGAGTCCCCGCCTTTTAAGTGCAGCGTCGCGCCGCCCCCCCCCCCCGGCGGGGCGGGTCTTAGGGAACCGCGGGCGCCCACTGGCCGCCGCGCGCCGCCCCCCCCGCCCCCCCCCCTCCCGCCTGCGCCTCTCACTGACTCTCTCCTTCCCTAGCTGCAGCTAACTCGGGTCGGGAAAACGCGACAGCGACTGCCCACTCGAGGTCGTCATGGCGACAGCCAGTGAACGTGTTCCTCTCCTCGGGCAGGCCCCCGAGTGTAGAGGAGCTGCTTCGAGAGGCGCAGCTCAATCTCCAGAGCCTGTTGCAAGGTACTGAGAGGGAGGGGGGCTGCGGCCGGAGCCCACAGGCGAGATGCGCAGCGGCTGGAGGGAGGCGCAGAAGAAAGAGGACAGGGACCAGCGCGAGGAAAAAAAAGAGAGAGAGAGAGAGAACGGTTTAAACCCCCACTGAAAAACAAAAAAAACACACAGTTGCCCATCTTTTTACCTTCCAGACTAAAGGGGTCGAGAGGGCTCGGTTTCTCCGGCTGTTTACTCGCCACCCCTCCCTTCCACCCCCCCGCCCCTTTATTTTTCAGTTCAGGAGGCCACGGCGGGGGTGGGGGGGAGGACGGAGGCAGAAGCAGGGCAGTGGTCAAGCCATTTACAGAGGGAGCTGGGTGAGAGACTCCCACAGGGTGGGCTCACAGACCTTTTAGACCCTCTCTTGGCACGTCACCCATGCCTTTGGAATCCTCACACCCAAGGACAATGGAGGCATCTGCAAGGGTCTCCCCCTCGGGGCTTCGCCCACTCTGCTGTTGCCACAACCTGTCCGTGTGTCTCCTGGGGAGCAACTGCCTCATCAGAGTAAGCCCGACAGGGACGCCTGAGTGGCTCCCTCGGTTGAGCTTGAGCGTCCAACTCTCTTATCTCAGCTCAGGTCTTGATCTCAGGATTGTGGGTTCGGTCCCTGCGTTGGGCTCCATGTTGAGCGTGAAGCCTACTTAAAAACAAACAAACAAACAAACAAAAAGTAAGCCCGATACCCAGCACCCAGAGCTCTCCTCATCCCCAATTCCTAGCCCATTGTCTTTGGAGTATACAGATGAGCACAGAGCAGTCAGACTGTGCATGCACCAGGCAGAGAGAGAAAACCCAGACTCTGAAATCAGACAGAGCTAGAATCTCATTCCCACCCCTCACCTAACTAGCTGTGGGATAGTATGCAGATTACCCAAAGCTTCAGATGAATCAGTCATCTTTAAAGTGAGGTTCCGGTTCCCCATGCCGCACAGTCTTGTGAGAATTAAAAATGGTATGTAACCTGCTCGGCAAGAGTATCTTGCAGCTGGAGAGACCCCGATAGGATGCACCATCAACACCCGGTACGTGTCCTTTGGAACACAGGCTTAGCTGGGCACAGTATTAAAGTTAACACAAAGGAGAGAACAGTGCGGTCGCTGATAGGCCCTTCCAGTACGAAAAACCAGACACCTTGACCAGAGGGATTTAGCCTATGTACGTGGCAAAGAGATTAAAGCTCAGTGCTATGAGAGAGACAACTGGGGTGTTACAATATCTGGACGGAGGTTACAAGGGACGTGCATATGTCAAAATTCACTGAGCTGTGCACTGAAGGTTTGTACACCTTGCTGTAGGTAAGTTATATCTCCATGAAGTAATTAATACAAATAAAATCTCAGTGGTAGTCGCAAGCTCCGTACCTACTCCAGGCACTCGCTGTCCCACTGAGGCCTCTCTTCCAGGCCCAGAAGCCCTTCCTCAATGTCTTCCAACCTCCAATCCTTACACGTTCTTCACAGTTCTCTTCTTGCCTCATTCAAAACCCTCTAACACTAGTTCTGCACTTCACTCATTCCCTTCGTGAGCACTCCCGCGAGCCACCTTGGGCCATCCAGCTCCAGAGGACTTGTATCGTTCTGAAGTGCTTTTTCTTTCATTTGTTCATCCATTTACTGCTTCACCTACTAGTTCTGGGCTTACCACTTGTCCGCCTAACCAGACCGAACTTCTCGACAGAAAGAATCACATCTTTTAGTACGCTTGTGTTTCCAGAAGCAGCCGGCACAGAGCTGGATCCCCAAGAGGTGTTCCGTAGGCATTTGTTGAGTGAATGTTAAGCGTGAGAAGAAGTCTTGTCAGCTCTCGTTTATCCGTACCAACGAAGGTTAACTCTTACGGAGAGTAGAAAATGGTAGCTGGGCCACCCAACTGGACTCCAGCCAAAACCCTCACCGCCTTTGCCAGGGCAGCGGTGGTGACCTTAGAGAAGCAAGATTCCAAGGGACACCATGAGCCTTGCGTTCAGATAAGAGAGAAGCTGCCATGCAGAAAAGGAGTCAGTGTGCTCTGTGTTGCCACCACGGGCAGATTTAGGACTGGTGGGTGGAGGAAACCTAGAGGGAGGCGGATTTCACCTCAAGATAAGGAAGAGCTTTCCTGCCATGCCTGGCAGCCCCAACTGTCCTTGGATAGGATGATCTGCCTTGGGAGGACGGCAGCCTCCCCTTCTCCGCAGGTCTGTGTGGAGGCTGAAGAAGCATCTAGAAGGGCTGCTGAGGAGGAACTCTGAGCCCAGAAGCAAGGAGAACTTTTGAGGCCCCCCCGGTCTCCAAGTCTCTATGTGTCTTAGAGTCTTTGTTCAGGTGTACAGAGAGCCCCACCCCTGTTGGTCCTTTGCTCTCTCATGTTGCTCATCTACTCATCGAACTCATCACTTCACTGAAGCCCATTCAAATCTTGTGCATCCCTCCTATTCGCTGACAATGCCCTTCCACTTCTCCTTCCTTCTCTGCCACTACCTCTGCCTTCCCTCTCCCTCACCTTAGCCCCCCCTGGACCTGACACAACCCACAGTGGGACTAAGGTGCAGGGAACCAGGCCCTCGGAGGCTCAGATGAGAGTTCTTGAGATCCAGGGGAGCCCTCCACCTTGGACTTCCCCGTGCAAATATCTTCCTGCTTCACACGGGTCCTTTCCCTGGTAGGCTTGCAGAAAACCTGAGGAGCTGCAGGGCTTCAGAGAAAGGTGTCTGCACCCTGAGGCTCTCCTCTAAGTTGAGCCCCTGAGTTGGGGGCCGGCAAGACACAGGCTTGGTCTGCGAACCAGCACAACTCGACTCTTACCGACTCGCTTTTCTCCTCGGCCCTTGCAGTCCTGGGAAGTAGGCATTTTTCCGTTTCCGAAGCCAGAGGCTCGGACGCCGGGCCAAACCGTAAAGAAACAAGGCAAGTTGCCTGGCAGCTAGAGCAGGAGCCCCAGCTTGCGGTCCTCTCCCAGCCCGGTGCTTGGCCGTGGCCCCTAGAGTGTGTGTCCACTGTGCTATTTTTCAGAAGAATATGAGGAACAGTACCCGGAGGCCAGACTTCTGGGGCAGACCTTCCGCTCTGCTGATGAGGCCCCCGAGCCCACTCCTAGCCCAAGGCCCCAGGCTGGCAGGCGTCTGGAGTTTGTGCTGATGGTGAGTTGCCTCTTCCTCCCACCTGTGAGAGCCAGCGTGGGCAGAGAGCTCTCTGCGCTCATTGACAGGGGCCCTCGAGCTGCGTACCTCACCCACCGGAAGCTGCTGCTCACCTCTGCTTGCCAGCAGAGCTACCCTGAGGCCCTGCCGAGATGGGCCCCACACAGCAGGTGTCTGGCCTGGCAGCCCGTCCACACTTTCCTGCCTACCAGACGAAGCCTCCGACCACCCTGTCTAGACAGCCATCCCGTGGGCACGGCTCATCCGGTCGGGAGCACACCCTTCCCATCACCTTCTTTCCCAACAGCCTACAAAACGGCAGCCGAGCGAGGATGAGACTACCACCCAGGGTGTGAGGGCCCCCGAGGCCTCCCTGAGCCTGTCTACCACAGCCGACAAGCAAGCTGCCTGGAATAGCCCCTCCCCTCTGCCCATCCTAGAGGAGAAGCGGTGGCTTCAGCCTTGTTCCACGCACTCTGACATTGTGCCCATCAACATCTCTGGTAGAGTTGCTTAGCACCACCTCTGTTTGCTTCCCTCCGTGCCAACTACAAACCATCCTCTCCAAATGCACTGGGTGCTGGGGGAGGGAGCGAGACTTTTCTCTGCTGCTGGCTCACCTTGCACTGTCAAGGTCATGGCTCTCGCGGGGGCAGGGGGGAATGGAGGCATGCAGGCGAGGGGGCTCTCACTGCTCTTTCTTCACTCTCTCCTGGCACTGCCACGCTAACCGAGCCCCTTTGAGAGCAAACAAATTCCTCTTAACAGAAAACGCTAGGACTCTGTGAATGTGTGGGCTCTTCAGAACGTCCATGGGAACTTAAAGTTTGTGAGCTAGGTTTGGTTTGGGGAGAGAGAACTTCTCATGCCAGAAGCCAGCTTGGTAGCACCCGGATAGGAGTCGGAGTCGAAGTGTGAGGTTTGTAGTGGTGGTGGTCAGAGGGAGGATCCCATCAGGGACACAGAGCTGGGGCCTCGTGGCACTTCCAGTAGACACTCGGTCTGCTAGAGAGGTGGGCTTCTTCACCTTGTGCGGCAAGTGTTTGAGGAGGGAAGTAATAGAGACCAAGGCAAATGCGGCTCAGCTGGCTGTGATTTGGGGGCACGGGGCCCCCTAGACCATTGCTCCACACTCCACCAGCTGTACGTGGAAGAGGAGGAGGGTCCGTCATTTCAGAAGGGGATAGGGCCAGCAACCTGATGACATGAAGCCCTCCTAACTTAAAGGGACCAGGGGCCCCCTGGGAGCCAGCACTGGCCAGTGGTATGCTGGAGGAAAAGTTGCTGAAGGCCATGAGGGCAGGTCTGGCCACGTGTGGTATCGCTCCCTGAACACGGGGTCATTCGGCGTCACCCGCATCCCCTCGGCAAATCAGAGGCAGAGCTCAGAGCCTAGGGAGATGCACCAGGAGGAATGAGGGCCGGGAAGAGAGACTCGCCCGCCAAGTGAGGGCGGGCGCTTTGTCTTTAAACTTCCACCTTACTGTCAGTGAGCCTGGCCCTGAGTTTTGCCCGCAGAGCCTCTCGCTGGGGGCAGGGTGGGCAGTGGGTACACATGCAGCCCCGGGGCCGAGAGGGGAGGGTCTGGTGAGCCCGCTGTCGCTGCGCTGCGGAATGAGAGACAGCGCGGGGAACAGCGTGCCTCACCCCCACCCCTGCCCCAGCAGTTCCCCTGGAGCAAAGACTGACCCAGGGTTTCGAGAGAAATAGATCTCAATCACTACACGGGGGTGAACCTTGATAAAATGTGATCAGGTGACTGGAGGACAGACTAGCAGGCTGCTTCCTGGATGGTGGGGGGCCGGTGGGGCAGGGGAGGTGGAGGCCCTGTCCTTACTGGCCCATACAAAGGCTTTCTTTGAGAAACGATTACAATCAAGCAACATCTAGTCTCAACCTGTCTCTCTACTCCGGTGGTTCTCACCCCAGGCTGTACATCTGAATGATCAGTCACCCGGGGACTTCAAGAAAAATGTTTCTATCGGGGTCTGACAGCCCGAGATTTAAGTGTCCTTGATGGGGTTCAGATACTAGGGTTTCAAAAGCTGCTCAGTTGGATTTGATATGCAGCCAGGGTTGAAAGCCCTGGCTCTCGGCCACCTAGGACTCGCAGGTGACCCAGGGTGTGACCTGTGAAAGCCCACATGTATGTCTTGGGCCTGTGGGTGCCCGGGGCCAAATTGGGAGGGATGAGGAAGAAGGGCCACTTGCCTGGACTCTGTTCATGCTCATTGCTACTGCCATCATCCCTTCTGTGCACCTCAGACTGATTTCCACTGTGCTGTAAACAGAAACCAGGATGCACCCAAGTGTCTTTATTTTGGCTACAGGGCAACAGTTTGATAAACACGCAAGTTTGCGACACTCGTTGTTTAACACAGAGACAGCCGTGAACCCCAAGTCCACCCTGAGGCGGAGGCGGACCATTATTGGATTCTCTAACTTTTCCCAGCGAGACCAAGGTGACCCCACCACAGCTGATGCCCCAGACCCTTCCCCTTGTTCACTTCTACCAGACCTGCCCCCCAGGAATAATTCAGAGTGCGTGCGTGCGTGTGCATGTGCATGTGTGGGGGGCGGGGGGGGGTTTGGATGTCCTAAATAAAAACCCATGTAGTAATTAAGGATAACCAAGGGCCCTTTGTCAAGGGCGTCAACTGAATATGGAAAGCAGGTTTCCCAGGCTACTAAATTCATTATGTTATTGTTTCCCATTCTACATGGAATATAGCTGTATGTGTCAGATTTAGGCAAATAGATCAAGGCAGGAATCATCATGAAAAGCACCATTCTAACAGAACCATTACTGCTACTAAATGGAGGCCAGCCAAAGGGCGCAGACCGGAAAGATGTGGATGCGAGTCCCGGCCTCTCCACTTACTAAAACCGTGAGGCCTTGGCCAATTTGCCTGACCTCTCTGAGCCTCAGCGCCTTCATCTGTAAATTGGGGATAATAATACCAAGCTGGCGGAGTTGTGCGGATTACAGCTGTTACATGTAATGGGCCTACCGTGTGCCCGGTGCATAGTGGGTGTTCAGCGAATGGTGGTTGCTCTTATAAATTTATTAGAGTTGTAGTAGCAGCAATGATGTGACAGTAAGGATTGTTGTGGATGAGAAAATCTTTGGGGATTTTGGACATCGGAATGGTTTCCCCACACCTGTGTGTCATCCTAAGCCCCTCGCGTGTGGCAAAGCTAAAAAGTGCCACATGCCAGAAATGCAACCAGGCTCTGAACTTGCCACCTGTGGCATCCTCCAGATTCATTGCCGGGGCTGAAAGTCCCACGGTGCTGTCCTTTGGCAGTTGCACAGCCCCTGCTCTCGTCTCAGGAGAGGAGGAACCCTGAGGTCTGGGATCGTTGGTGAGCCTGGGCTGAAAGCTTGGGGAAAAAGACAACAATAACAACAACAACAAAAAAACAAAAAAACCCAGGTAGCCCCACGCACCACTTGAGCTCTAAAAGGAATAATTAAAGCCGGCAAGGCTTTGGCAGCCTCCTGGACAATTCAAGGGCAAGGCACCCCGTGACTCACCATGTGGTGATGGGCAAGGACCCAACTTCGCCAGCATCCTCATCTCGGGAGAGGAAGAACCAAGGAATCCTGACCAAGCTGTTGGCAGATGCTTCTTGGCAAAACTTGGGTGCGCCTGTCTCGAGACAAGGACCTCAAGGGGGATCCCCGGCAGCAGCACTAACTCTCTGTGTTTACCTTCCCCAGGTCACGGCAACAGGCTGACGGGCAGCGTGGCCCGCACCGCCACCTCGGACATCAGGCCCAGTCATTCGGCCCCAGAAGGTGTGCATGGAAGAGTGGCAGTTGGTCAGGAAGTTCAGTTCCCAAATCTCACCTCCCCAGGACTGAGGAGTCCTTCTAGTGACCCGGAGGAACCTCTCCAAGTGCGCGGTGCCACAAAACCCCCAGGCATGGAGAGCATAGGAATGGTGTACAGCGTCCCCAGTTCTTGCAACGGGCCGACAGAATCTACGTTCTCTGCTTCCTGGAAGGGAGATACTTTTACCTACATGACTCCAAGTGCCGCCAGCCCAAGCAGTCGAGTGGGTGAAAACGGAAGAGATCCTTCCTCGGGCAACGCTTGGGTCCCTCTGCACACGCTGCCGCCTCTAGTTCCTAAGGAGGCCGCTACCCTCTTTGTCACTCGTGATAACCCTGCAGGATGCAGTGGGTCAGCTGGCTACTCTGAGCACCCAACTCAACGAAGGCAAGCATCGGAGCGACCCTCCAAGATCGGCCTTCTCACCAGTGGTACCTCAAGGCTGGAGACAGGCCCAGGGGGGTCCAGCAGGTTCCGGGAGCGGTCACTGTCTGTGCCCACGGACTCGGGCGCCGCGGATGTGGACTACAAGGAGGAACAGAAGGCCAGTGAGGCCTGTGCCCTGCCTCACGCCAGTACGAGTTCTGAGGGCAGTAACAGTGCCGACAACATTGCCTCCCTTAGCGCCCAACAGGAGGCCCAGCACAGGAGGCAGAGATCCAAGAGTATCTCTCTCCGGAAGGCCAAAAAGAAGCCTTCCCCACCCATGCGCAGTGTCTCGCTGGTCAAAGATGAGCCGGCCCTCTCGCCGGAAGGTGGGTCAGCACTGCCCAAGGACCAGCGGCCCAGGAGCCTCTGCCTCTCCCTGGAACACCAAGGACGTCACTCATCCCACCCCGATGCTCAGGGTCACCCAGCTGTGCCAACCTTCAAAGATCCGGAAGGTACACATTTCTCCCACCACTGGTATCTGACTGACTGGAAGTCTGGCGACACCTACCAGTCCTTGTCCAGCTCCAGCACTGCCACTGGCACCACGGTCATCGAGTGCACCCAAGTTCAGGGCAGCTCAGAGTCTCTCGCCTCCCCTTCCACGTCCAGAGCCACGACACCTTCCCAACTCTCCATCGAGGTGGAGGCCAGGGAAGTATCCTCCCCAGGAAGGCCCACGGGGCTGATGTCACCCTCCAGTGGATACTCCAGCCAGTCGGAGACACCAACGCCCACCGTCTCCATGTCCTTGACCCTGGGCCACCTGCCCCCACCGAGTGGCAGCGTCCGGGTGCGTCCGGTGGTACCTGAGAGGAAGTCGTCGCTCCCCCCAACCTCGCCAATGGAGAAAATCTCCAAGTCACGGCTGTCGTTTGACCTGCCGTTGACCTCTTCAACCAACCTGGATCTGTCTGGGATGAGTATCTCCATCCGAAGCAAAACCAAGGTGAGCCGGCATCACTCAGATACAAATTTTGGGGCCAAGCTGGCCCAGAAAACGAGCCCCAACCAGCCCGTTATGCCCATGGTCACTCAGTCCGACCTCCGTTCCGTGCGCCTGAGGTCAGTCAGCAAGTCTGAGCCGGAAGATGACATCGAGAGCCCGGACTATGCTGAGGACACAGGAGCGGAAGTCTTCACCTTGCCAGAGAGAAAGACGAAACCTCCCATAGCCGAGAAGCCCCCCGTGGCCCGAAGGCCTCCGAGCTTGGTCCACAAGCCACCATCGGTCCCCGAGGAGTACACACTCACCTCGCCGACCTTGGCTATGACCCCCAAGAGCTCAGTTCAACACACGCGGCCACTCCCTCAAGACATCTACACGGTGGTGCGGAAACCAAAGCCCTCCAGCTTCCCTGAGGGCAGAAGCCCCGGGGAGCTGCCAGCGCCCTCGTCTCTCGCTTTCACACCTTTTGCCAGTTCCTCTGGTGCTTTCTTCTCAGGAACACAGCAACCTCCCCAGGGCACCACGGAGGACGGGGGCCCCAAGGCGAGAGCCCTGCCTGAAAGAATCAGCCTCCAGAGCCAGGAGGAAGCAGAAAGAAAGAAAGGCAAGATCCCACCTCCCGTCCCCAAAAAGCCCAGCGTGCTGTACCTGCCTCTCACCTCACCCACGGCTCACATGGAGGCGTACGGGGCCGAACTGAGGCTGCCTCTCAGCCCCATCATCACCCTGCAGGAAGAAGCCAAGGGTTCCCCCACCAGTGACCACCCGCAGTCCCCTGGTACGAGGACAACTTCACCACTGCAGGCCGAAGGTGAAAGGGAGGCAAGTCCTCTAGGTTAGTAAACTGCTGGCTTTTCCTTTCAATCCCAGGAAAGATGACGGTGAGCATAGAGTGCCAGAGACAGAAGGAGATGCCCCCCAATAATGATCCTGAGTCCAGGACAACCGGGGCAGTAGGAGGCATCTCTTGAGGGTTGGGGTTCTTCCAAAGAGGCCTCGCTGCCCTTGGGATCAGGAGTGACCCAGGCAGAGATGGATCTCCAAGGCCCAGTTTGGGCCAGTCCACCCTGGAACCCCCAAGGACTGAGAGAATAAAATCAAACTAGGTCTTAGCACCCTAGGACCTTAGGAGCCCATCTGCCTAGTCAGGCACGCATACCCTGCCCTAAGAACTCTCTCCCTGCCTCACTGGACAGCACTTTTCTCTAGCCACGCTGATTTTCGTTTCACGCATGGGACTCAGTACCCTCCCAGGCTGAGTTCCGGTGCCACGGCCGGCTCGCAGGCCTCTGAAACAATGGCACAGGTTTCCAGCGGCACCCTTTCTTAGTGCTTTCTAGAGGAAAGGGCGCTCACTTGCTGGGATTCTTTGAGGCTGGCTCTTCCCAGGACAATAAGGCTAGGCTAGATAATGTTTCTAGTCCTTTTTGGGGGTCTTTTTTTTTTTTCCATGCCCCTTTCTTGTTTCGATTGTGGTCAAATGCACCTAACGTGAAATTTTACCATCTCCAGAGTGCTCTTCATCTTGCAACACTGAAGCCTGTACCCATTAAACAATAACTCACCACTGTTCCCTCCCCCTAGCCCCTGGCAACCACTCTTCTACTTTCTGTCTCTATGAATTTGCCTCTGTCTAGGGAGCTCGTGTAAGCGGAATCACACCGCACTGGTCTTTTGTGGACCGCCTATTTCACTTAATAGATTGTCCTCCACATCCATCCGTGTTTCTCATCCTTTTTTTGAGCCCTTAACACCAAACATCAAAATTTTATCACCTTCCTGGGGCGCCTGGGTGGCTCCGTCAGTTAGGCGGCCAACTCTTGGTTTCTGTTCAGGTCATGATCCTGAGATGTCGGGGTCCTGGGGTCAAGCCCCACATCGCATCGTCGGGTTCCTTGCTCAGTGCAGAGTCTGCGAGTCTGCTTGTCCCCCTCCCTCCCCCTCAGCCCCTCCCCCACCCCGTGCTCTCTCTCTCTCTCTCTCCCTCTCTCAGATAAATAAGTAAAATCTTAAAAAAAAAAATCTTATGACCTTCCTTAAGCTGATTTGGACTTTCAACAGAAGTTAAATCATAGAGACTAGAACAGGCAAACAAATCAAAGCCCACAGGTAATTTTAGAATATGCTTTGTCAAACTCCACAGGCTCCCTCTGAGATTCAGATAGGTCCCGCTCCCACCTACTGGTTGAGTCATTGCTTTAGATTACTCTCAGCTTTTTTGATTTTTAAAAATGATGCATTCAAAGCAAAAGAATGCTCTGGCAACCTGTTGTAATGGAAAAGGCATGAGAAAACAAGGACCCATGCTGATCTTCACCACTCAGGCCACCTTGGCCAAAACATTAACCTTCTGAACATCGTGTTCCTCTGCAAAATGGAGACATTAAGGGTCTCTCTGCCCAGCAGTCCTTTCAGACTTGCTTTGAACATCAAATGAGGTTCATATGAGAATGTGCTTTGTCCTAACTCTTGTGGTCAGAGTATTTAATTCCTTCTGGTTCTTATGCCTAGGGAGCTCTGCAGAACCGAGCACTGAAGAAAAAAGTGTAATCAGTGATAAAACAGCCGAATGGATCGCCGAAGACGATGATGACGTGTTTGTGGCTTCACGCACAACGGAAGATTTGTTTACTGTGATACACAGGTCTAGACCCATCTTCTTAATTCCTAACGTAAATGCCTTCCCTTTTGAGACCTCCAAGCAGCCATGAGCACTGAAGCTGGAGACTAAGTGCAGATACCCACACATGGGAACGGCAGTGCCAGGCCTCGCAGATGCAATTCGCTGACATCTTTGGGTGACGTGGAGGAGGGGCCGGGAAGGGAGGACCAGGTGCCGAGTGAGAGGCCCCTCGTCTCCTAGCAACCGCAGGCCTATTGTGGCTCCATCTGCTCCCTGCAGCTCTGTCTACAGACAGAGACATTTAACCCTTCACAGCATTCCTTGTACCAAACCAATCTTAGCAAGAAGCGCAGTGGGGCACCGAGCCGGGTATCAGAGCAGGAACGCAGGCAAAGGGGGACCGGACGGGGACCCCCGTTCTTGGACAGGGGCACAGAGCAGGGGCTTGGTGGTGAGAAAAACTAGAAAGAGCCCAGTTATCAGGGCTGCGGGAGGGCCCATTCCCTCAGGCTGTCTTGAATCCGACTCACCGAGCTACAAGCCTTGACTCCTTAAATTCTTCCTCGGTCCCAGACCCAGAGCATGGTCGAGCCTGCAGGCCCTCCAGCTGTGGGTATTGAAAGGAGGGTACAGGCAGGGAGCCAGGCAGGGGACTCTGAGGACTTAGCAGTGAGAGAGAGAGAGAGAGAGAGCGCTGGTCAGCGCAATTGCTCGCAAGGCTGCTTCGTAGAGGCTCCCAGATCATGTCACTGGCCTTCAGGAAGTTATATGAAGCATTAGGAAAATGTCTGCCACGTTGAATTCACTCAGAGCAAACTTTCTCTTATTTAGGTCCAAAAGAAAGCTGCTTGGCTGGAAAGAGCCTGGGGAGGCCTTTGCCGGCGGCGGCAGACCGAGCTCCCATTCACCAGTAAAGAACCCAGCTGATTCTCCAGTCAGTGAGTCAGCTGCCTCTGCAGGGTCAAGCGGCAGTGCCAACCTAGATGCTGGCAGAAACGATGATTTCAAGGCCTTGCTACAGAAGAAGGGAAGCAAGGCAACTCCAAAGTCCCGCCCCTCAGCAGCCGAACTGCTGAAGACCACTAACCCACTGGCTCGGAGAATTATTGCACAATTTTCACAAGACTACGAAACCACCGATAACCCCAGTACCTAAGGCCCGGGTTCAGCAAACAGGGTTTAGTCACCAGACTTGAGTAGACGAAGGGGAAGAGAAAGGGTTTTAAAAAGGAGTTGTGGAAATAACAGAAGAGCCTACTTGTCCTTTCCATTCATTCACCCTCTGGACAGCAGGAGAGAGGCCACTCGACCTAGAACTAAAATCATCAGGCACTTTAATCACCTTCGGACATTTTGCATTGTCATACGTAACAATCTTGCCATTACTGACTACAGATTTTCTCCTTCTTTCCCCCCAGTGCTGTGCCCCGAGGAGAAATTCTCAGGCGCAAGGGCACCTGTGCCGTCTTTTCGGTCACTGACCGGGCTGCTCTGTCCCTGACTCCTGTCACCGCGGGGCACAGCGCGAGGGCCGACTGGGGCTGCCGAAACGGGGGGTTTTCCCATTATTCACTTTCCGGGCAAGGCCTCGATGGCCCTGTGTGGAGAAGCGGAAAGACTCTGAGGCCTCTTCAACCACAGTCTTGCTCTCCCAAGCCCCCCTCAGAGAGGTTTGCGGGTGTACACTTATTTCAGCATGGGGTTGATTGGCTGGCTTTTGTCATGCAGAATATGAATGTGACTCTGTCTTGAAATTCATGCCTTTTTCAGTTGGATTGTCTACGCGGAGAACAGGGTGATGAGTTCCGATAAACATGTAGACCCCCTCCCCCTTTAGCTAGGAAAAGTCAGGACTGGGTTGCTTTGGATGAACCAAGTTCAGCCAACAAACGAGGCAGCCAAGCGTTCTCTCAGATCTAGCCGAGGCGACTCACACGCGCGCGTGCGCCGTGAGATTCTCCCAAGTGTCTGTCAACAGTGAGAGTTAGGATCGGTGCCCAGCTCAGGCTGCATTCTAAGAACCCTCGTTTCATTTGCATATAACCTTCATTACAGGAAGTAATTAGCTGAAGGAACAGCATCATCAAAGGCTCAAGGAGGAGAGAAAGTAAGTGTAACTTGTCCACCTCCATTCAGTTTAGATTGTGGTTTGTGGTTGCTTTTGTTCGGGTTAAAGGAAGTCTTACTCTGTTCCCAAACCGAGAATGTATGGACTGAAAAAGGATATATCCAAAACCTAAAAGGCTGCCTTGCAATTTGCTGTGGCCCGTAACACACACACACACACACACAAAAAGGGCTATTTTTTTTTTTTTTTTGCCATTTAGGTTCCACCGTGTGACCAACTTTCAGTTAACTATGCTGTGGGGGAGTGGATGGTCTGGGGAAAACAGGGTGCTGACAGAACCCCAGAACAATCCCCATGACCCCCCCCCACAAACACACAAGCTTATAGGCACTATTCTTGTCAGTTCAATTTTCTAGGCAGATCAAGAGCAGTGATTTATTTGATTTTCCTATGTCTGGTCGCTGGGAGGTTGGGTTAAAAAAACAGACGACGCATTGAACAAAAACTGGCTGACCAGTAATGGAGGGTTAATTGTCCATATTCCCAAGAAGGGAAAAGAAAAGTCAAAGGAAATTGTAGCCTGCTTCCTGGACCCCTTCCTCCTTCACCACTGCCATCCCCCCACCAACGGATTCATTGGCCAACCTCCTGGAGGCTGGAAAAACTGCCCCAGAGACAAGCAGTTCTTGATTTTGATAGGCCGCCTTGCTCACCAATGAGAAACAAGCTCTTAGCTCCCCTGCCCACACTCTAGCAGGCAGAGCAGCTGAAAAGCTACCCTGAGAGCTGAGGAGACTTGGAAGCCGCTTAGAAGCCTTCAGCCTAGGCCCTTGGTTGGTACAGTTCTGAATTCCAGACTTCTGGGTACAGGTCGGGCTCACCAACCTCTGCGCAATCCGTACTTGCCCCTGGTTTAGGCAGAGACCACTTAACAATAAGCAGCGAGAACCCAGTTGCTTTCGAAAGCATCCCAACTATTTGAAGGTCCTGATCGAATTTCAGGGGGTTTGCCTGACATCAAATAGACTCCTTCCTGGCCTGAATTTACATACGAATGCCACACTCATCTGCCCCAGCCTCAGCATTCCAAAAGACAGAAATATTTTCCTCTGTAGGGAAGTGAAGGGGTGTTTGTGCTTTGGCCTAACAAAAGTGAAAGGCTTCCAGGGCCTTCTCCTGGGGAAGCACTTTGAACAGCTGAACTCTGAAGCCGAATATGAGACTCACATAGTATAGGATTTGTTACTTCTGCTGATTTTTCTGGAAGCTTCGCGTTTGCTACTTCTACTGGGTTTCGCCTCTCCCATCACCTTGCTATCTCTCATGGTTTTCCCAAAAGGTTCTCAAGCTGAATGACCGGACACCTTTATGTTTTAATGTTACCTTGAGTCTTGCTTTTCTCTACAGTAGTCTGTATACCTGGGATTTTTATAACGTCTTCTGCATCATTATTATGGCCCTGAAATTCCCAGTGGTGTTTCTCATTAGCACAAGAGGATTTGGGGTAGTGATTATATGGCCAGAGGGATCACCGAGGACTACAAATATTCCTTTAATATTTTGCAGCAGGGGACCTAATCCCAAACAAACAGCCAGACTGTAGAATTTGTTAGTCATTGAGGACCGTAAGACCAAACATCTTTCCTGCTCTTAACACTCAACCTCTCTCACCCCTGTGACTATCGTAACACCAGCTCTCTCTCCCACCGCGGCACATAGCACAGTGTTTGCTGCCTTGTACCCCTACTTGCTAAGACTAGAGAAGACAGGCTGGAAGCCCCTCCAGGCAGGCTTTCAGAGAACCTCCTACTGCCACTGTTACTTGTGCAGATAATAATGATAACAGGTTTTGAAGGTGGAAATCAGAAGGGGTTCAAGTGAAATGAAGTTGGCCCCAGAAGGTCAGCTTCCATTTCAAGTTGTTTCCATCCTTCTTGTTTGCTCTGGGTCCAGCCAATAGCAGCAGGTGGCTCTGCTAGGCTGAGCTCAGTCTAGTCACGAGTAGAGGGAGTCATCCCCAGGATTGGTTAATGGGTAGCTAAAAGTGCTTTGCTCTAGGTGAGTGTTGATTACGTATTTGTGGTTCAAATGTTGAGGGGAGAGAGCAAGCCATTCTTGGTACAACAGGAAGCCTCGCTGGTGCCCCCCTCCTTTGCCTGCCTCATCTCTCGCCTGGGCCTCCCACCAGGCCCCAACTTGTCCCTCAGCCCCAACTCCCGTGACCTGCATCCCTAGCCTACCATGTACCCTTTCAGGAGGCGGGACCACAGGCAGCGAAATAGTTCACCTTAGCCTAATGACCACAAGTCGACCAGTTGGTCCGAAGGCATGACTTCGAATGTGCAAAGATGGAGGAGATTCTATAAGGCTGACAATACACATCTCACCGGACATCCATCTTAATTAACTCTCTAGATGACAGGGATCAGCTCGTGATCCTGCTGTACCTGTCTGTCTGAGCAGATGTGTCCATGCACCTGCCCTCTTCCTCACAAACAAATCATCCCCTAAAAAAAGACGAGTTCATGGCCAGGGCTCTGTTCCTCACTGGTGTAGCCTTCCATCCTCACCAAGTGTGTAAACACAGTAGTAAGCTTTCACTGTAATTGGATCTGCCAGGGCCAGGACCACAGTGAGGTGAATGAGGCGCCCGCTCTCATGGCCGCGCCGTGCCCTAACCTCGGCCCAGCCCTGCTCTTTGCACTCTATAAATATCAGTTTATCTTCTTCCCGAGCACAAGTGTGGATCCTCCAGTAACTCCCTATCTGCCGTTGCACCAAATATCTTATTACCATCTCTTTTTCCACTGCTCTCAACCTTTGTATGCCTATACATCAGAGAGCCTTCAATATGATCAGAAGACATGGTTGATTTCCAAGCAACCTGCTCCAACTGGCAAGTCAGCCCCCATTTAGGTAGGGATGCAGACAGGGGCAGCCCTTCAGCAAGATCGTGAATAAGTTGGAGGCCTGCCACTGGGACCCTCTCTCTCCTCTTTCTGCTCCATGTTCCCCAGACCTTGGTTCCCGGAACCAACCCTCCTGAGTGCCTCCTCGTTTGTTCTCCTCAGTCAGAAAAACATGCTCTCAGGAAAGAGATGAAGTCCTTTACTTTGACATTGTAAGGCTTAATACTACCTTTTTTGAGGGTCACTTGCATTGTAACGGGAAAAGCCTTAAGCCAAAGAAATTGAAGTTCTACTTGTAGAATGTTAGGCACCAATTAGTTGCCGAAGTGTATTTTTCACCACGGAAAGGCCAAATTCCCTGACAGCTAACTCCAGAAGATTAGAAAATGCTGTAGTCTCCTGGAATTATTTTATCACATTGCCGGTGGTTGGCTACATAGTCCTGATCCCCAGTGCTGTCCTCTTGGACAAGGACTAAGGGACCACATCTACCAAGAGACTCTCGGAAATGGCTCCTGAAAGGCCGAGATCCTTGCTATTGTACAGTGACATTTTTACACAAATGGAAGTCATACTAATCATTTTAGTAAAAGAACACAAGGAGTTAGAGTTTGTGAGGCTGTGTCCTGTTCGTGAAAGGTGAAACTCTCCAATGTCTGATCGATGTCGGTCGCCCGGTGTTGGTGGTGATTATTAAACTTACCGGAGGTACAACTTTACTGACCACAAGCCTCTGCTTCCCCTACCCTTATTTATGTTTTGTGCTATCACTTCCACTTGGTGTGAGAGAGACCAGATCTCTGCCAGAGCACCCAGTCCCTCCGAAGCCTTTGCTTGTGTTTCAGCTGTAAGTCATGAAGATACTAGGGATTTAAGAGGACAGGAGAGTGGGAAAGAGGTACAAACAGCTGCCTCCGTCAAAGGGCAGCAAGAATTGTAATTTAAACAATGACATGAAATAAAGTTCTAGAATATTCTGAAGCAGACTTATATAGGGATACAGTAGTAAATGGTTAGCGACAAATATTTGAGGTGCTTTTAGTAAGTGTAACAAAAATACATTTGCATAAGTAATGGGTTGTGTGAAATACGTATATATGTTTGTTCAGCAAAGCCCAAAATCGAGGCCGGTGGTTCTCAGAGTGTGATCTCGGAACCAGCAGCTGCAGCCCTGGGATGTGTGTGTGTGTGTGTGTGTGTGTGTGTGTGTGTGTGTATTCCAGCGACGTTACTTCTTCAAGCCCCTGAATCACTATAGCCACGACTATCCAAATGGTTCCAGCCTTTCCCATCGTTTCTTCTGTCCTTAGAGTGATCAGTGTCTGGCCAAGTGATGTATATTGTCGTGTTGGTCAGGTATACATTTGTCTGGTATTAGGAAACGATCAGATTGCATCAACTACTTGCTTAACCTGCAAAACCCTTGATTTAACTTAGCCAGGACATCTGACCTGTTTAGAGGTTTAATTTTTTTTTTTTTTTTTTTTTTTTGTAATTCACGAATAGGAAAAAGGAAGAAATGTTCTGTTTGTTTGGTATTGCCAACCCTTAAATACCTATCTTCACCGTGGTGGCTGTTCTCGACGAGGGCTCCGTTTTTAAGATTTTGCCTACATAGTGGAATTTGATATCAACAAATCCACCAACAAAATCTGAACTGGAACAGCCAGTTAACCCCTCTCAGCTTCTCCTTAATGCCAAGCTTTATAGGAACTTACTCCTTATGTGGTGTTCAGCTTTTTTTTATGTCCAATTTTATAAGATGTTATGCATGAGGACGCAGCATTGTGCTCATTGTATAAGTCACCCCGAACTCATTTCTTCCTCCGTATGTATGATGGTGATGAAATATCAGTCTGTATGTCCTGACCTCTCCCGATCAACTGTAAATGACAAATCTTTTCATTGATTTTTAAATGAGATATATTAACTCTGGCTAGTAGTTAAAATTTTATTCTTTTTATTATATTTCATTGCTACTCTTTTCTACTGACTCCAAAGCTAACTTTGGGGAATATTTCTTATTTCTAGGTTGTTGTATTTCTCTTATTTCTATATTTACCTGTAGTCACGGAATGTTAGAACTGAAAGGGACCAACCTCTCATGTCACACATGAGGTCCAGAAAGGTCAAATAACTTACACGAGGTCCTGTACACAGTAGGAGGGTCTGGCCTCAATCCCAGGTCTCCTGCCTCTGGGGCCAGTGTGTTTTCATTTAAAGCACTGCATTTAGAGAGAACCCACAGCTGGCTTCTACTTTTATGACATATGAATTTCCCGGGTATTTCAGTGAACTAATTAGCTATGCTTTAAGGGAAAATGCTCAAGATTTCTTTAGTTGAATCTGAAGACAAATCTCATTTTCAATTTAGAAACATTCATTTCCCCTCCAAATTTACTTTGTTTTTCCTAAGAGATGTTTGAAAAATGATTTTTTGTAGATCAAATTCCACTTTCTGGTAGAGAAGCGTCCTATGTGGGGGAATCTTCTGGCGACTTCTTTTGATAAACAAAAATCCAATGTCCCCTAATATCTCTACTTCTTTTTAGTGTGACCTTTTGTAATTGGTATTTATTTAAAGTAGGGCAAACCAATATAGGCTTTCCTAGAATCTACTTTATCCTTCCCTTCTGAAACTTTATGAGATATTTTCAGACTGTTAGATGCTCGTGAGATCTTTAGTTGTGTTCTAGAAACTTCACCTAACTTGATGTTACGTCAATCCCTGGGCTCAAACTCTATCTCCATCTTACCAGAAAATTACAGAATTTCCTCATCAGTACTGAGCTCTGCATGCATTCTCTTTTCTGGAACATTCTTTGCCTGGTGTGACTCTATTTAGCTATTCTTGGGCTTCCTTCCATGGTTCATGCATACCTTACTATTCTGTGGAACTGCAGTCAGTGTCCCTTTAGGGCCATGCTAGTCACATGGAGTGGTCTTTCCAGTTATTTCCATCGTTCCCTTGTTTCTACTGGACCTCCTCTGGTTTCCATTTTCAGGAATGCTCAGAGATTGGTGGGATCTTGACCCGGCGGGGGGGGGGGAGTTGACACGCATTTTTGGCAAAGGGCCAGACAGTAAGTATTTTAGGTTTTGGGGTCCACACGTGGTCTCTGCAGCATATTCTTCTTTGTCGTTGTTTCTTTTTTTCTTTGTTTTACCACACTTTAAAAATGTAGATACCATTCTTAGCTCTTGGGCCATAGAAAGCCCCAAGCTGGATTTGACCTGCTTGTCATAGTTTACTGACCTCTGGTCCAGACAATCTTCTGGGACAGGCATTTCTGTGACTGGCCCCATGTGATAACTAAATTGTATGCTGGATGATGGGGCTCGCTACCCTCCCATCTACTTACTACACTGTCACACCAGTCTGCACAGAAGTGGGTGGAGAAGGGCTGCATATGTCAACCCATGACTCTAATAGGGTACTCTTCATCATGGTCTTTCTCTCTCTCTTTCTCCCTGTCTCTCTGTCCCTCTGTTTCTCTCTCACTGACTACCTTGGTGTAGAAACCCTCATTCATTTTTCCAGGCCTCCTGACCTGAGCCGAAGGCAGCCGCTTAACCCCCTGAGCCACCCGGGTGTCCCTGCTTTCTGAACCTTTAAAAGGATTCCCTACGGGCACCTGGCTGGCTTAGTCCATAGAGCATCTGACTTTTGATCTTGGGGTTATGAGTTCAAGCCCTTCATCAGGCCTAGACCTTACTTTAAAAAAAGAAGAAGAAGAAGATTCCCTAAAGTTTCCTCACAAGTCTCTCCATCTCGCTCCCATCTCTACGTCTCCTGCCACCTGGGAGTCTAAAGCTCAGATTCGCATTTTCACATTTGCTCATAGAAGCACTGAGGGGCATGAGGGACGAGGGCGGGTGCCTGAGCGTGTGAGCATGGTTTCTCCCCTGGGACTGTGAAGGCCCCATTGACTAATGTCTCTCTCTCTCTCTCTCTCTCTCTCTCTCTCTCTCTCTCTCACACACACACACACACACACCATGTACACATGCACACACTCCATCCAGTGTTCTCATCAGTTCTCTGGTCCAGGTCTACGTCTGGTCAAGGAGAAGGGGATGGTGTGCGGCTCCTGAGGCATTTCGCTTTTTCTTGTCTTTTGAAACTTCTTTCGGCTGGTTTGTGCCGGCTTCTCTCAAGAAGCCATTTGAAGAAACTCCTTTGTGACGGTTGTGGACAGGCTGACATACAGAGCGCTAGGACTTTAACTCAATATGAACTCGGTCACTCAGACATACTTCTGAGGCTGCAGTTTTTCCTCTAGAAGCAAATTGTCTCTTAGGACCTTTTGGCTTGCTTCCTGTCATTTGAGCCCAGGGATCTGCCCAGTTACTGAAAACTAAATTTTAAAGTCAGAGGCATGTGTACCTTTCAGGATCTCCCTATGTGAAAACATCCGTGAAACAGTTTCTTTCTGCCTTTGGTTTAAGATTGCCAGACTGAGGAAGGCAACCAGGCTTATGCCTTGAACTCTAAGACAGCGAAAGGGTTACACTTGCCAAAAGCAAAACGAGGAAGGAGGATTGACTAGTCCTACTGTGCATAGTCAGGAGACAGACTCTTCTTACGTTGGCTTACTAAGTGCCAACAACGCACTTAAGAAAAATAAGGGAGACAGGAATTTACAGACCAATATCCTAAACTGGAAGGCGGCGATAAGGCCATTCCCCCAGTGATGAGACAGTGTCCCTGGATAAAAATTTCAAGAAGCAGCAGAAACTAGGAGAGATCATCATCCCAATCCTTTTTAGAATTCTAACACAAAACGGAAGGAAGCCCTCTGTGGGGTGATATGACAAAGGGTTTTTCTTGTCTTTTCTTTCTTTCTTTCTTTCTTTCTTTCTTTCTTTCTTTCTTTCTGTCTGTCTGTCTTTCTTTCTTTTTTTCTTTCTTTCTTTCAGCATTCCATACTGGCTTGCTACCAGCAATTGAAGTGTATTCTTTATATGCTAGAGCTGTTTGTGTCTTCTCAAAATAAATTGTTTCTGTTAAAAATCATTTTCTGTTTCACCCTCTGGTTTTCATTGTAGCAGGTGATGCCTTTATTCAGACACTAAGCCCAGGTCTCGAGCCTGTGTCACCGACCACACAAGTGTGGGGCCCACACACAGAGGGGTTGATTCTCACAAACCCCTGAGAGCCCAAAGCCGATAATGCAGGACATGGTGACTTGCAGGCACCTGGCCCACCCGGCGGTAAACCTAAGCTGCACAGGCAGGTAATTCGTGTTCAAGGACTTTATCTCGGGGATTCAGATGCAACTGCTTATGGAAGCACCAAGGGGCCGCCGATGAGGCGGGGCTCTGGTGAAGTGGGCAGCCCGTTGCCAGGCTCCAGAGAGGAGGAGGTTGCCATAGCAACTGTGCTCAGGGCACGCACTCCCTCTTTGTTCTCTGGCTCAATGAAGCCATCCAGCAGGGCAGACCAGAGTGAGTCTGGGCTGGGGGCAAAAAAAAAAAAAAAAAAAAAAAAGACCAGATGTGGCCCAGATCACTTCCACCCCTCTAAAAAGGGTATGATTCCACCATGCAGGTAGTGACAGCTATATTTCAGGGTCAACTCGCATCCGAAAGGAGCTTTGTTCTCTGTTCCCCACTGGCCCACGCATGTAAAGCTGAGGCCCTTGCAGCTGACATCCTTGTCTCCCCAGGCCTTACGTTAGCTCATGTCCCCTGACAATACCAGGCTGTTCTTCCAAAAAGACACAACAGAGCTGGAAACAACCTAGAAGGCTCACAAGGGAAGGGAGAGGGGCCAAGGCAACTTTCAGAAAATGGTAGATGTTAGGATTTAAGATAAAGGCCAGACACAGGCTGGCTTGAGGTGGGCCTTGTGGCAAGCAGTACCTCAGTGGGACCCTGTGGTTCTGAGTCTAGTCGTCATCCTGGCAGGGTCAGGGCCCCCTTGTGCTACCAGACCTTGAATTGGTGAAGCTTTTTAGGGACTGACCCACACTGACCAAACTCACCAAAGACATGGCAAAGGCAGGGTGTGGTATATTAATTGACCAGGAAGAGAACCCACCTTTAAAGCACAGGTCATAGGGGCATCTGGCTGGCTCAGTCAGTGGAGCATGCGACTCTGCATCTAGAGGCTGTAAGTTCGAGCCCCACATTGGGTGTAGAGATTGCTTCAAAATAAAATAAAATCTTGGGGCGCCTGGTTGGCTCAGTTGGTTAAGTGTCCGACTCTTGATCCCAGCTCAGGTCTTGAGCTCAGGGTCATGAGTTCAGGCCATGCCCAGTGTGGAGCCCACTTTCAAAAAAATTTTATTTTATTTTATTTTATTTATTTATTTATTTTTTTTTAAAGATTTTTGTTTATTTACCTGACAGAGAGAGAAACAGCGAGAGAGGGAACACAAGCAGGGGGAGTGGGAGAGGGAGAAGCAGGCTTCCCGCTGAGCGGGGAGCCCGATGCGGGGCTCGATCCCAGGACCCTGAGATCATGACCTGAGCCGAAGGCAGTCGCTTAACCAACTGAGCCACCCAGGCGCCCCCCAAAAAATTTTAAATAAATAAATAAACAAACAAATAGAATCTTGAAAAAATAAAAAAAATAATACAGCACAGGTCATAAATAGGAAGACTGCAGGCTGGATGGAGCTCACACACACACTGTCTGGAGTACACGATTTCCTTTTCAATTTTTTAAAAAAGATTTTATTTTATTTGAGAGAGAGAGAGAGCAAGTGTGCACACGAGTGGGGGGAGGGGCAGAGGGAGAGAGAGAATCTCTAGCAGACTCCCCTCTGAGTGCAGAGCCCCATGTGGGGCTCAATCCCACCGCCCCGAAATCATGACCTGAGCTGCAACCAAGAGTCAGGTGCCCCTCCTTGTTTTTCAATTTTTAAAAATTTAGGTGGGACACAATTTCTCCAGTTTACCTAGTCCCCCACCACTCCCTGTTGCAGTAAACCCAACCAGCTTCGTTCATTTATACCGATTGCTACATCCCTGAAGGCATTTGGGCCTGTGAACTTTGCATCAAGGTGTAGTTGTGGGTTGGGGGCCCCCTAGGAAGCACTCTGGGGTGGAGTTTGGTGAGCAGGAAAGTTTATTAGGGAATGCCCTAGGGATCAACATCTGTGGGAGAGAAGGGAAGGAAATAGGCTTCAGTAGAAGGAGAAAGGGGCAGCAATGCAGGCACCAAAAAGCCTCGGCTGACTTGATGGCGACCTCTGGCATCACACGGACCCATCAGAGTTGTCCCGCCCTGGGCCAAAGGCAGGCTTTCATACCCTTGCTCCAGTGAGGGGGAGGGGCCAAAGGAGAAGCAGACGCCCCGCCGAGCAGGGAGCCCGATGTGGGGCTCGATCCCGGGACTTCAGGATCACGACCTGAGCTGAAGGCAGATGCCTAAACGACTTGAGCCACCCAGGCGCCCCTGGTCATCTCTTTTCTCTCAGTACTTCCTTCACATTGCTCTAAGCTTCTGCTCTGCTACTCAGCTTTCCACTGCTCCCCTCCCTTCCATCCTTTTCAACTGTGCCCACTGGAACCCCAATTAGGTTGTAGGGATCAATAGCCCTACAAACCAGAAGGCCCCCCACAATACCTTCCTTAAATGAGAACCGGCTCTCTCTTGAGAACTCCATTTCTCCTGTATGCTTCTCCTCAGAGATCCTTCCCCAGCATCCCCCTTCCCTGTTTTCAACCCCCCCCACACAACTACATCAGCATCTGGAGGTGGAATGGGTCCCTTCCTTACTCCCCACTGCGCCTTTCAGACCATAATTCCTGAACCTCTCAGTCACTCCCCTTCACACAGTCTGTCATCCCATTCCTAGACTTACCAAAATCTGGGACCATGTGAATATTCAGGTGGGAGACCCATTGCAAATCCCTGGCTTCTCGTTTCTTTGGCCTACTCATCTCTGATGACCTTCTTTTCTGCTCCAATCACCCACTCTCAGGGTCACAAATGGACCTCGTTATCCTCCAAAATTGCCATGGGTGGCTCAGTTGGTTAACCGTCTGCCTTCGGCTCAGGTCATGATCCCAGGGTCCTGGGATCGAGCCTGCATCTTCCTCCCCCTGCTCATGTGTGCTCTCTCTCTCTCTCTCTCCCTCTCAAATAAATAAGTAAAATCTTTAAAAACAAACAAACAAACAAAATTGCCATTTCACTGACATCTTAACTTTAATCTCCCACAACCTCACATCTTTCCAACTCTCATTCAGTTATCCCATTACACTGTTTGATTTCACTGAGACCTCTAATAACTGAATTCATTTATTCATTCAATATTCAGTAGGCATCTACCACAAACAAGGCATTAAGTACTGGGGATACAGCTTTGAATAGGACAAACATAATCCCTGCTCTCACGGAGCTCAGGCTACTGTTCCCTTATCTCTCAGCCCTTCTCTCTATTTTAACTTCTTCACCAATTAGCGTTTTGACCACTCTCGTGCAAACATCCTCAACTACTTTTGTTCCATTGTCCTTCCTCCTGTCTTCTAGACACAACCCCACCTGGATCAATCCAACTGTCCACATTCTCTGTTCCTATGTCCAGGCTGCTGGAGAAGACCACACACAGTCATGCAAAGTGGTGTTCTCCTACCGAAAAGGGGCCTTCAGCTCTACTCAAAAAAATCCTTCTCTGGTTCCACAATCAGCTCTCTTTCTTATTCATCACAACTTCAAACCTCCATTCTCTTCAGACTCAAAACCCTCCACTAGCCCCTCCTCCCTGCTACTTCTCCGGCAGATGACTTCCCAGAGGAAGGAGAAACCATCAGACAGGAAGTCCCTTACCGTCCTAACAGCAAATCCACAATCCCATCTGTAGGTGCATTCTTCCTTATCCCCCCTCTCTCTCTCCAACTTCTCTTTTTCAATGAACATTTATTCAACAAATATGCACCTACTATATGACAAGCACTGTGCTAGGAGCTCGGACTATAATGGTGAGCAAAACAGTCAAGGTTCCTGACTTTCTTCTGAAAGTCATTCCAGCATGAGGGAGCAGACAACATGTTAGTAAACAAACCAACAAAATCATTTTAGATTATTAAGGAAATACAGTCAAATGTTACGATAGAAAGTAAAAGGGGAGAACTATTTTGAATATGGTGGTCCAGGAAGGCCTTTGTCAGGTGACTTTTGAACTGAGGGGAATGAAGTTGTGTTTGAACACATTAAGTTTGAGATTCTTATTAGTTATAGAAATGGAAATCTCAAGTAGGTTACAGGTTATACCTGGAGCTAAGGAGAGAAGTCAGAGCTAGATATATAAATCTGAGAGCCGTAAGCATATAGGTGTATTTTATGCCTTGGTGCCAAATAAGCTCACCTAGGGAGAGAATGTAGATAGAGGGGAGAATTGAGACAGAGACGAAGGGCCCTCCCAAACTTGGAAGCTGGGTAGAAAAGGGGGTCAGCAAAGAAAATTGAGACAGAGCAGAAGGAGAAAACCTAGAGAATGTGGCATCATGAAAGTAAACAAGGAAGGAAGGAAGGAGTGATCAAATGTGTCAGGTGCTGCTGAGAGATCAAGTTATACGAGGACCGAGATGTAACCACTGGGTTTGTTGGATGGATGAGAAGAGCAGTTTCAGTAGAGTTGCAAAATGGAACCTCAGTTGGAGCTAGTTGGATAGAGAATGGGAAGAGAGGGAGTGGAAAGAATGACGACAGACAAGCCTTTGGAGAGCTTCTGCTGTGAAGGAGAGCAAAGCAATGGGAGCATTATTTGGTGGGGGAGACAGAGTGGAAGGAGTATTTCTGAGGATGAGAGAGATGGGTGCTCGTTTGTATACAGATGGAAATCATCTGGGAGCAAAGAAATATTGATGAAGCAAAACCTTGAAAAGGTAAGAGTGAGGGCGCCTGGGTGGCTCAGTTGGTTAAGCATCTGCCTTCGGTTCAGGTCATGATCCCGGGGTCCTGAGATCGAGTCCCGTCAGGCTCCCAGCTCAGCGGGGAGCCTGCTTCTCCCTCTCTGTCTGCCCCTCCCCCTGCTTGTGCTCGCTCTCAAATTAAAAAAAAAA